CAAGGACAGCCTGTCTGAGCCAGCAAGAAGGCTTGGGGACTCCGATGCCAGGAGAAGCTTTGGCTCTAAGTCCATGACACCCCATCAAGGTCGAAATTCTAAGTTGAAGTCCTGACTCTCCACCTCTTCCTGCTGAGAGCTCCCAGAGTCGCTGGGGGTCTGGCCAGCCCCTCTGGGGGAGATGGAGAAGGTATCAGAAGAGGTAAGCCACGCTGTTCTCTTCACCTTTCCACCCTTCTTGATTTTGATATTTATGCCCTGAACAATCACCATCCTTGGAGACTGGCTGTTGCCAGCGGAGGAAGAAAGGCACTATTGAAGGGAAAGGCCTAGAACGCCCACAGGTCACACTCCACCAGCCAGGCGGTGCCAGCAACCCCGAGGGGCTAAGCCCCTTTCTGAAGCGCTCTCTGTCCAAGGTTCAAGAATGGGTTCAGGGCTCGCCACTTCCTGCCCCGGCTATGGGGCTTCCTGCGAGGAGCGAGGCCAAAACCCTCAAAGTGCTTCCGGAGAGAGGAAGCCAAGCTTCACACAGCCTGGTCTGAGGGGTCTGTGGGGAGAAGGGGTCCCCACTGGGGCCCAGGGGAGGAAGCTGAAGGATGGGGCCCTCCAGGTGGCGGCAACAAAGGACACCATTCATTCATTCGTTCACCCAGTCAGCCAGCCAGCCTGCTTTCCTCTGAGCTGGGCTTCATGTCCTAGGCTGAGATGCCAAGCCTCCGACCCCGATCCTCTCATCGCCTCAAGTCTACACATGTGTTTAGCAGTTGGGAACCGAATTCCCAGGGCCAGTAGGTACAGGAAGTAGAAACAGCAGTTACCATGGGCTCCGGTCCTGGAGACTTGCATTTGGGGACCCGAGAGTCCTCTCCCACGCGCGTGGACGTCCTCATCACGAGGAGGTGAGCCGTGCTCCAGTTCCCAGCTGAGCAGGGTGCCTGGTTTGATCGCCCGCAGTGTGTCAACTGTTAAAAGGCAGCCAGCCCTGCGTGGGACGTACAAGTGCTGTCTCCACCTCAGAGGCAGGGCTCGGGGTGATTTCCTGGTACATCCATGGGCCACGGCCTCTGCACTGCATGGGGCCGAGTCCCTATCTGAGCCCCGGACAGGCTGAAGCTCACCCCGCACGCTGCCCCTTAGAGCTTGTATCCACGTTCTGGGCTCATGGGGAGGGGGGTCTCTTTTTCACACCCTTGCATCATCCTTGCCCCAAAGCCCAGCCCGAGCACGGTGTTTGTCCACATCCCTTCACTCAGGACCGGGTGAGATAACTTTCCACTTGACTTTGCCAAGAGCAGAAGGAACAAGGTCCAAAACATGGCTCATAAACCCGACGGTTCTCGCCACAGGATGCTGGCGTGGACGGGAGCCTGGAGGCAATGTCCTGGCTGGCGGCTCGGCGCGGTCCCCACCCGGAGCTCTGGCTGTCCCACGGCAGGGCCCCACAGCAGGATCACCCCTGGCCTCAGGAGCAGGCAGGAGCAGGCAGAACCCCGACCCCGGTGCTGCGGAGGGGGCTGGCTCTTGGCTAGTGGCTTCAGACCCTGCCACCCAGTGAGCTGCTCCCTGCAGAGAAGCAGCACCGCCTCGCCCACACCCCTGGCAAAGATGGCGGACATCTAGCTTTGTGACATGACTCAGACATGAGCCTGGCCATTCCAATCTCGGTGCCTTAGCAGGTGACCGCCATGGGACAGAGCACAGGGAGTGTGTGGAAAGTCCAACTCCGGGTTTCATCCACGTTACACGGGGTCAGAGGCAACGGCAAGCTTCTACACCTTACAGTTGTCTTGAGATTTTCCCAGGGTCCCTTTGGGGCTGAGAATAAAGGGCATTCCAGGCCCCCCAAATGGCTTATTGGAACATGCCAGTCTGAACAGCCCAAAGGGAGAAGGAAAAATGTTCTTCCTTCTCCAGAAAAGCTGAAAGGAGTGCCGAGCCAGGAAAATACTAGGTCACTACCGTCATCTGTTTTCTGCTGTAAAAGCAGACCACCTGAGGGTGGGTGGTTTATAAATTAGAGATGTTTATTCGGCCCCTGTTTATTCTGGAGCCTACAAAGTCCAAGAGCCCAGTGCCAGTGTCTAAGAGGATGTTCCAAGGTGGAAAGCAGGAGGCAAGTACGTGTGCCTGAGACAGAGAACACAGAAGAACACACGCTTATAACAAACCCACTGTAGAGATAACTAATCCACTCCCTAGGTAACGGCATTAGTCGATGTTTGAGGGCAAAGCCCTTACAACCGGATCCCCTTAGAGGCCCTACCCTCTAGTCCTGCCACTCGGCAGTTACACTGAACATGAGGCCTGGGGACGGGGCAGGGTGTCCAAACCTCTCTAAGAGGAGAATGGCCTCTCCAACCTGGGAGGTAACCGGGAACCCATGGAGAGAGACAAGGAGGGGAGAACAGAGCAGTTTCTTAATCTCCACACAGCCATTTTGGGTCAGAACACAGTTCTGTTCTCAGAAACTCCATGTAGGAGGGTTTAGCTCAGGGTTGGGGACTAAGCTTTTCTGGAAGCACAAGGGTGGGAGGGGGGTCTTTATAGCTCACCCCCACAGCTGCCCTGAGCTGGAGGGAGCTCCCCACCCAGGGAGGCAAACAAGCAGATTCTGGATAATGAAACCAACATGGGGCAGGTTGGGCTTCCTAACAGCTAAGGTCCCTGTGTCAGTTACGTTTCCTGGTGCTAAAACAAAGTGCCCCAGGCATTAAGCACACAGCTTTCCTCACTGAAGAGCCTGGCTCAGGACCTTGGCAGTGCGGCCTCCGGGGAGGTCCTTCCGGCCAGGTCACGTGAAGAGATGACATCCCAGCGGTGGCTGCTCTGGAGATGGGTCACGTGGCCAGACAGGAAGCCAGAGAGAGACTCAGAGGGGCCCATCCCATTCTCCTGGTCACTGACTAGCCCCATGAGCTCAGCATTAATCTCTCCCATGGGTGATAGCCTGATGGCCAAGCCATCTCCCACCAGGCCTTGCTGCTTGCTTTGACATACCACCTCCTTTTAATCCTTCCATAGGGTGATAGAGGTTCCAACACTTGAAAACACCCAAGCCAGGGCCCACCGGCCTTGGCTTCTGCTAATCTATGGAACCCCACAGAGATGTCCCAGACCAGCTGGAACAAATCACCACACACAGTGTGGCTTTAAACTTGTTTACTGGGCACAGTGACCCATGCCTGTAATCCCAGCTACTCTATACTCAGGAGGGGCTGAGGCTGGAGGCCCTTGGATGAGAAGGCACAAGGGAGCTGGGAGAAGGAGCCTCTTCTGTTTTCCCCGGGGACCACGCCCCCACAGGTGCAAAACCACACCCCATTCCCAGAGGCCCCTCCCCACTTCTCCCAGACCACGCCCCCACCGCTGAGCTTAGGCCTAGGAAGGAAACCAGGCATTCCCTACACAGCTCTCCCCGGTGGAGGTGACGACCCGCACACATCCTGACTCAGCCCCTGAAGATATTCAGGGAACACACGGCTGCCTGCAAAACCACATAGAGGCAGCCAGTAACTCCTGCCAGGGATCTGAACCCCAAACCCTAGATACACAAAACCCAGGGTCTGGACAGCACTGCAGACTGCCCAGGGAGATGTCCCTTGTTCACAGACAAGGAGCCGGTGCCAGGGCCTGGAAGAAATTTCTCCAGACCAATGCAGCGAGGAGAGACTGAGCCAGGTGTCCAGGCCTGCCCAGTGTCTGGCACGCCGTGTTCTGTTTCCCTCCTCTCTGGCTGTCTTGTCCCAGGGCCACTCAGGACAGGGCGACCTGGCAGCCCCTGGCTCTGTCCTCTCTTGGAGCAGAAAGCTCAGAGGATCAAGAGCCCAGAGCCCCCGCCACCCTGCAGCCTCATGGTCCCTCAGTTTCCTTGCCAAGATGGGACCTACTCCACTCTCTGCTGGTGGTGTGACGCTCTGACGGGTTCACTGAGCGGCTGGCCACTCTCAGCAGCTCTCCTCCAGCCCTGCTCCAGCCCTGGTCTGGAGCAGCCCACGGACCCCACAATCTCCCCTGACCGCAGATCCCGCTTTTCCCACATGCCTCTCGTCCCCACGGGTACACGGACAAAGGAGGCCAGGGCACAGGGGGTCTCACCTGGACATACGCACCCCAGTTTCCCAAACAGAGGCAAGTTCCCTGAGCCTCCGTTTCCCCACCTGGAGAATGGGAGTGTTTCTATGGCCCCTGGCTCTGGGGACACTCTTAGCTCAGAGCACTTGGAAAGTCACAGTGCACCCGGGCTAGCTCTGCTGGGGCTGGGCCGCGTCTGGTCTAGCTGCTTCCTCACTGTGGTCTTTTAGGGGAAGCACATCCTAGAAGCGGGTGCCCCTGCACCCCGCAGCTCACATCTAAGGACACAGGATCTTCCTCTCCTGTGTCATCTTTCTCCCTGCTGGGGGTTTGCAGAGATCCGCACAGCCCAGGCCAGCGACATAGCCCATCCTCCCACCAAGAGAGACCCAGGGCATAGCTGACCAGCCCCACCGAGGACAACTTGTGTGGTGAGTGTCAGGTCCGTGGACAGACTTCCTGAGCCCACTCCTGCAAGCTGGAGGAAACTGGCTCCATCCTTCCAACAGCAGACCAGCCAGTTGACTTAACAATCTCCATTCTGTGGAGACACTGTACTGAGATCATGACGGGGCTTGATCTCTGCCTAACCTCATGGTCTCGCTCCTCTCCCTGCCTCTCTTCCTCCTCCTCCCCTCTCATCTGCTGCTCCTGCCATTTCACAGAGAAACTTCTGTGAAGCAAGAGCCTGCTTGCCTTCCCAGTGCCCCCTCCAGGCAGCCCCTGGTCTCAGCACAACATCCTTCTTTAAAGATGGGTGTCCCTGCCCAGGTGGGCGTGTCCCCTCTTCTCCCTCACCCCCCTGGGTTGACCAGCCCTGGCAGGGCCCTGCAGGAAAGAGGCGTGGAGCCTGGAAGCTGGACCACTCCCCACCCCCAGCAGCTATTTAAAGGGGCAGCCGGTGTGGCTACAGGGAGCCCAGCATCATGGCCCCCTGGACGCTGTGTCTGCTCTTGCTGCTGCTGCTGGCCGGTCCCCAGGCTGGGCAGGCTGCGCCTCCGACCTGCTACTCCCGGATGCTGACCCTGAGCCAGGAGATCACTGGGGACTTCCAGAGCCTGCAGGCTGCGGAGGGTGTGGTGAGTTCTCTCTTCTGCCTCTACCTCTGGAGGCTCATGGAAGACTAGAACCCAGCTCCCCAACTCCAGCCTTTGGACCAAACCAAATTAGCGCCCCATTGAGTTCAGAACTTCAGAGTTAGGAAGGACAAAAGAACCGTGATAATTTAGACCTCTCATTCACTTACTGGTCAAGATGGTAGCGTACCCCTGGCTGCTGAGGACACAGATCACTCAGCCGCTTGAGTCAGTTTCCTGCTAAGACAGAAGGACAGAATGACAGCTTATGACAGGAGACACAGGGTGCTCTGCCGCAGCCCGTCCTGTTCCCAGAGGAAGACCAGGGACCTCAGAGGGAACGTCTCAGACAGGTGCTAGGAGAGGAATCCAGGCCTCCGGCCTGACAAAGTACATTGGGTCAATGGAGAGCGTGGGTAAAACATAAAGTTGTCTCTTGTCTGCTTGTAAATGCTTCAAGCGGAGCCTGGTGATTCTCAGATGTTGGTGTTCATGGGATCCGAGCCACCCTCTTGGTATTTGCTTTTGAAAGTTAAGTCCCACGCATTTATAAAAGTAAAATATTTGCCTGGTAGAAGGGTTGTGTGGGGGGAGGGAGCGGCCGGGAGCACACAAAGGACAAAGAAGAAAGCAGGTAGCCACCTGGTGGTGAAGGCTGGTGTTGCATCCTGCAGGATGGCCACTCTCTGAGTGCGGGCCTCCTAAGTCGGCTCAGCAGTGCCATCAGGTTTGCACTCACTGAAGTACTCCGCGGAGTACACGTTCTTCTGCAGGGCATTTGGGACAGATAAGTGTTCTATCTCGGTAATTTCATACCTGAGAGGGAAACTGAGTCAAAAGGTGAGACTGACAAGTTCACACAGGGAGTTGGTGAAGGGCAGGGCTTTCTGCCCTGCATGAACATGACAAGCACAATGCTTTAAAAATCTACATGTTGTGTGTACTTGTACATGGCCATATTTGGTGTCATTTACTGTGTCTGTTACAGGTCAGAACCATGTAGACCTGATTGTGCATCCTTATTTTTAGGTGTGTCTACCTATGTACATATAATCATGAATGTCTATGTGCAGTTAGAGAGCTGTCATGCCGAACAACTACAAAACCTTTATGTATATGTATACATACACATCACTTTATATCTTTATGCACATGTTTGTGTGTATGTATGTACAAAACAGTGTACTAAGTCATGGCAAATCTTATAAACTTTGAAAAGTCAAATTCCAGAAAAGCAATGGCCTATTTGTGACTGCAAGCGACAGACAAAGCAGTATGATTTTGTGGGTGTCAGGGCCTCCAGAAAGATTTTGCATAGGGCTGGGCACCATAGCACATGCCTGTAACCCCAGCTCCTTAGGAAACAGAAATTCAGAGGATCCCCAGTTCAAGATCAGCCCGGTTAAAAAGAAAAACAAACCAGTGAGACACTCCACCCAAACAAACAAGCCAGATGTGGTGGCACCTGCCTTGGACCCCGGCTATCTGGGAGGTGTAGGGCGGCTGGTCCAGGCCAGCTACAGGCAAAAACACAGGACTGCATGAGAAAAGCTGTAAAGGCTGGAGGAATAGCTCGAGCAAGGAGCCTGGCGAGCAGAGAGGCTCTGAGTTCAAATCCCAGCCCAGCTGTCAGGGGAAGGAGAAGGAGGAGGAGGACGCGGGACCCAGCGAGGTGCCCCGGGCGTCCAGCAGCTGCGTCCTGTCCGCAGGAGCCGTGTGTGAGGAACCTGCCCGGGCTGTACCTGGACATCCACGTAAGAGGGCCTGCCCGGCCTGGGGTGGGCGGGGCCTAGAGGGAGGGGCGGGGGCGGGGCCAGAGATGGAGGGGCGGGGCCTCCGCTCCTCCCACCACCCCGCCCATCCCCGCCCGCAGAACTACTGCGTGCTGGCCAAGCTGCGGGACTTCGTGGCCTCGACGCAGTGCTGGCGGGCGGCCCCGGTGGACACCCTGAAGGACAAGGCGCGCAAGCTGTACACCATCATGAACTCCTTCTGCCGCAGGGTGCGAGGCCAGCCCACAACCGGTGGGGCCTGGGGAGGGCGGAGGTGTGGCTTGGAGGAAAAGGGAGGAGCTTGGGGTAAGGGGTGGGACAATGAAGGGCGGGGCCTGGAGGGAGGGTGGGGCTTTCAGAAGGGGCAGGGCGAGGGGCGGGCCTGGAGGGGGAATGGGAGGGGCTTGGAGAGGGTGGGGCAAGGAGGGGCTGGGCTTTGAGGGAGGGGCAGGGCTTGGGGTGGGTGGGGCTTCTGGAGGGGGCGGGGCCTGGAGGGTGGGGAGGAGCGGTGATCAGCGGGTGCTGGGGGCCCAGCACCCCTTCGGGGAGGCAGCGCTGCTCTGCTCGGTCCCGGCCTGCCCAGGGCCGACGCCCGCTGCTTCACCCGCCCACTGGGGTTCCTTCCTTCCTTCACCTCCCGATCCTTATCCGGATCCCGTGTCTCAGGACCCCATGTGCTCATTCATTCATTCACTCACTCACTCACCTGCCCGCTGTGACTTACTCCTCCGTAATAACGCCAATGCGGAGGACGGGCGCGCCGTCTTAGGGGCAGAGGGAGGGAGGCCCAGGCCCCGGCCCCTCCGCGCGGCCGCGCTCACGGCCCGTCCTCCGCAGGATCTGGTCTTCCTCTCGGATGACTGCCAGGCCTTGGAGTACCCGGACCCGGGCCCGGGCCAGGCCACCGCGGGGGCCCCCCGACGGCCAGAGCTGAGAACGCAGCCGGACTGACCCGAGAAAGCCCGGGAGGGCCCAGAGCCCCGTCCCCTGCCCCCCCTCGTTTCCTGTGGCCCCGAACCCGCCACCTCCCTGCACCCTGTCGAGGGCAGGGCAGGGCTGGGCTGCGCGGTGGTTCGCACCCGGCTCTGCTCAAGACCCTCGGGCGCTGCCTGTCTCCCCGAGGACCCGCTTCCCCTTTCCCACCCTCCCTCCTCACGCCAACGGTCTCGCTATTGCGATGGTTGCAAGGCTGACATCAACATGGAAATCAATAAAGGACATCTTCCTAATTGGAAGCAGGGGCCTGCTGTGATGGGGGGCAGGGGGAGGGGGAGAGGGCGCGGGGGCAGGGGGACGGGGAGGGGGACAGGGGAGGGGACGGGGGAGGGGGAGGGGAGGAGCCTCCCAAGGGAGAAGCTCCACCTTCAGCTCTCCTGGGTCTCTTCAGAGACCTGCTTGTAGACTGCTTAGCCTTCCTAATGGCAAGAGCCAATTCTTATGGTAACATACCTGTGTGTGCATACACACACACACACACACACCAGCATTGGTTCTACAGAACTCTAACATTGAGTCATTCTGTGTTTTCCTCACCCATGGCTAATACAGTAACCAAGGTCATCTTGACCTTTACTGTGGACTACTGCAGCAGCCACACAATAGGCCTACCAGCTAATTCCCATGCAGTATCAACTATGACCTGGGGCTGGTGGTTCACACCTGTCATCCTAGCTACTCAGGAAGCTGAGATCTGAGGATCACAGTTCAAAACCAACCCAGGCAGAAAAATCTGTGAGACTCTTATCTTCAATTAACTCCCCAAAAGTTGGAAGTGGAGCTATGACTCAACCCATCTTGAGTTCAAAAATAAAAAAAAGCCAAGTAAAAGAGTAAGGCCCTTAGTTCAAGCCCCAGTACCAGTACACACACACACACACACACACACACACACAAACTATGGCTTGCCTTTCTTCTGTTGAGAAACTTTCTACAGCTTCCACTTTGAATGAACTTTAACCTCCCACACCTTTCAGCCTAACACCCCCCCCCCATGCCCTCACCACCGTTATCCTCTATGTGCATCCTATGAGCCTGTGCTAATGGCCCATGACCCTGTTTGCTTACTTGTGTACTGTTCCTCTCAGGCTCTCTCCATGCGCATGCCCACACATGCCCCTCCTCCCACCCTTGACTGGACTGACACAACCCGGCTGCTCAGCAAATATCACTGGGACATTTATAGACATTGAGTCTATTACTGAATAGACCAAGCAGCATCACCAGCTAAGATCCTGCCATTTTCAGGTGACTGTACCCAGTCTTTCTTCACAAGATATGCATTGTTTGTCCACAGGAGGTACAGCCCCACCCCCAGACCTGGATCCTATGTTTTCAAACACTGCGTGTGCACATGCACACATAGGCACACACACACACACACACACACACACACACACACATCTGTGGACATTCAATCTCATACTGCTCTGAGTCTTTGTATAAAATACAGTGGAGACCTGTGCGGAGCCCTTATCTTCCCCTCTGGCACATCAGAGTGCTGAAAGATGGTAGCGCAGCACTTTTCCTGCTGAGATCAGCATTACACCTTCACATCCAGGGCGATTTAAACCAAGGGAGAATTATGAGGCAGGAAAGGAAAAAAAGTCCCTAAGGTTTAAGTTCAGTTGCGGTGTAAAAGTGCTGGGCCTGCAGAATTGCCACCCGTGTTTGTAGACTGTGCAGGTCCGCAGCTTGTGGATCAAGAACGAGCAGGACTCGGGGAAGGCCGTCCTGACAGCGATGAGATGTTGGAGGAGAAGATGGAGGGACCACCGCGCAAGAGCAGAGTCAATTACGTGGAAGATGGCAGGTCAGCAGGAATAACTTAGATTCATGTTCCGACATGGTGAGGCACCCCAGGAATTATATGGGCCCTGGATGCACATTTCTAAACCATTTATAATCAAGTTCCTCAGTGTAGCTCTATTTTTTTTTCCAGAATGTTCTGGCAGTGAGACAGAGATTGGAAAATGTGCTCCGCAGCCTTTGAGTTTTAACTCCCTGATCTCCATCTATTTGGGCAGCAGCAACCTGGGCCAGGAGGCACCCTCCCCACGCAGGCACTCGATGCCACATGCAGGGTTTAAGCATCATCCACCTGGCAGGGAGGGTCTGAAGCTGGTTTCCTTCGGTGCCCAGCCTGCCCCTCTGGGTGGAGCCTCGGTCCTGTGCGTCCCCTGCTGCCCATCCACAGTTTACAGCACATAGGCATTTCGTGGGTCACAGGGGGAGGCCAGGGCACAGGGCTGCTTGCTAGAAATGGCTGCTGGGCCAGCTCTCTCCCCTCTCCCCCAGGTGGCCAGGGTGGGAGCGACCTCTTCTCTCACAACCGCTTGTGTAGCATGTGTCACTTTGCCAAGTCCTCTTGTGCCTCACGTTTGGGGGTGGGACGGTGCGGTACCACCACCAGACGGCTGGAGAAGGGAGGGGTGGGACCACAGCAGATGTCCTGGCTGCTCAGGAGGCATTGTGTACAAAGCACGTTTGACCTTGAAGCCAGCCCAACCTAGTAGTTACCCCTCTAATTAGGATGATGATGATGATGATGATAGAACAGGATAAACCCACTTGAGGGACAGTTATCTGATCCCGGTTAGGTAGTTAGGGGGTAAAAGAGGGCTGAGGTAAAGGGCATCCTGGCAGGCAACAATGGAACAGCACCAATCACCTTTCTTATTCCTGCTGGGCCTTGGCAGGTTCCAACACATACACAGGTGCTTAGGGAGGGGATCCAATCAGAAGACAGCTCCCTTACTCAGGTGATCCAATCAGAAAGTTCTTTGCAAAAGGTAAGGCAAGCCCCACAGAGGTGGGGAGAGTCCAATCAGAGCTCTGTTGCCTAGAGGGTGGGGATCCAGTCAGAAAGGCCTTCCAGAGCAGGAGACCAGCGCCTTAACACATCAAAGACCCACTCCACACAGTTGACTGGACGAGGGACAGACTATCGGGCAGGGCCAGGCAAAGAAACGATGTTTTTTTTTCTCTGATGAGGAATTCCTTCTCCACTCTTGGAGTCTGCTCCCCCGAACTTTCCTTTCTTCCCTTTGGGATAAACTTCAGTGGGTGCATACTTTGCTGCCTTTTTGCTCTCTTGTTGGAACCTGTCCGCGGACGCATCACTCATGGTACACAGCCTGACGAGGGGCAGGGTGGAAAGCCAATGGTAGAACCACCCTAGTCTAGCAAAGATGGAGGGAAGGCTGGCTGGTGGACATGTGCAGGGAGATGCAAGCAGGCGACCGCCTTTCTCATGTGCATGGGCCACGGAGATGTCCCCACAGGTACACCATGGGCACTGGCCATGGATGACTCCCTGCAAGAGACAAGCTAACTCCTGGAGTCGCAGACTGAGCAAAGACAGCCTGAGGGCCACAGGAAGGCTGGAGAGTAGGAAGCAGAGGCCGCACCTGGCCTGCAAGAGCCCAGGCCTGTACAGTGCAGAGCACCGCCTGGAGTGCCTGGCTGCAAACACCTCGGCCTGGTCCCCGTACGCAGGCCTGCACAATAGCACCCGCGGAGCAGGGTTCCAAGGATGTCAGCCACTACCGAGGGGACAGGGATCTCTCTTGGCTCCACCAGCCATCAGGATAGGTAGGGACCAAAGGACCCTGGTGAAGTGAGCCAGGGAATTTGGACACACAGCCTGGACAGACTGGGAGAGGCTGAGTCATCTGAGAGCTGCCCAGTGCCCTGACAAATGTGATTCACTGTTCACAGATTCATACATGCAAACAAGGCTCTCAGCTAGCAAATATTTATGCAGAGACTCTACAAACAAACCGTCCATGTGACCTTCCCGTGTGCATTTCTAAAGTGACGGATGGCTCTCAAAGGTGGAGGCAGCGGCGTGCAAAGCCCTTTAAAAGCCAATACACTCTCATGAATGCCACTGATGATTGAACGCTGTGATCAGTCATCAGTATTGCTCCCAGATGGTGCATGAAGTAGCCAGGGCCCAGCCAGCAGGGGGCAGAGCTGAGCACCTCCTGGGTTGCACACTGGTCCTCTATCCACACTTGCCCAGGGCACCAGAGGGTCCTTCCTGATGTATATGTGGGAGGACCTGGTGCGTCCACAAAACTGCCCCACCCCAAAGCTTCCAAGTGTCCCTAGAATTAAGAGATGCCACAGGGCCACACAGGAGTCACCTGGGAGAGGGCTGGCACTGGCCTGGGAGGACTGAGCGACAGCACCATATGACTCCAGCCAGCCCCTGGTTCCTCCTCCACCCCATGTGCTCAGGTACAAGGTGGGGGCCAGGAGGAGCTGGTGCTGGGGGGTGGGGACCTTCAGGGTCCTGTCCGGCCTCCCTTCCGGGTCATCAGCCTCCCAGGTTCTCTCTTTCTGACTTGAGCAGGGACTTGGGGGGAGGGGGAGAGGAGGTGAATTGTGCATCCCCATCTCCACACAGCATGGCCCCTAGTGGCCTGGGACCAGAGTGACTGACAGCTGAGGACTGAAGAGCCAGGAGAGAAAGGCATCACTGCCCTCTAGTGGCCACAGGCTAGGGGTGTGCGGGTCACGCAGCAAACCTGGCTTTTATCCATGTGGAGACTTCATGGTGACTGGGTCTCAGCACTGGGTGACAGGCAGGGCCTCACCCAGGCACACCCCAGCGCCAGGTGTGTGTGCGCGTGTGTGTGTGTGCATGTGTGCTACTCAGGGACTATAAGTCACCCCTTTCACTGGGATCCCTGCAAATTTCTTACCCATGTCCCTGCTTCGTTAACCAGGAAGGCGAACACAAAACGAGCACTTGGCTACAGCCGGCCATCTGACGGCCACTGCCCTGAACTTGGGCCCTTCTGACATCCGTGCTGCACCCACCTGGACCATGTCTCCGCCGCAAGCCTGCCTCCCATCCGAGGCCAGCCAGACACACAGACGCACACGTGCACGCGCACACACACAAGCAGGAGCTGGGAGGAGTGGAGC